CAGGGTTGATCCCTGTTGTAGGATGTATCACTGCTCCGCTCTTTTTCAGGGCTGAATAGTATTCCATTGCATGGATGCTCCACATGCTGTCTCTCCATTCGTCCACTGATGGACACTGTGTCCACCTTTTGGCTATTGTGAGTAGTGCTGCCGTGAACACTGTTGCACCAATATCTGCTCGACTCCCTGCTTTCATTTTTGAGGATCATATACATAGGAGTGGAATTGCTGGGCCCTATACTAATTCTATTTTTAGCTTTCTCAGGAACCATCATACTGTTTTCCACAGAGACGACAGCGTTTTACATTCCCTCCAGCAATGTATGAGGGTTCCGCTCTCTCCACATCCTTGTCAAAATTTGTTATTGCCTATTTAAAAAATTATGGCCATGGGGCACCTGGGTGGCTCAGTCGGTTGGGTGTCTGGCTGTTGATTTCAGCTCAGATCGTGGTCTCCCTGTTTCTGGGATTGAACCCCACAGCAGCCTCTGCTCAGACAGCGCAGAGCCTGCTTGGGATTCTTTCTCTTCCTCTCTCTCTGTACCCCCCCCCAAAATAAATAAATAAACTTAAAAATAAAATAATTTTAAATTATAAACAAAAATTTTTCAATTATAGCTATAGCTATCATGAAGTGGTATCGTGTGTGTGTGTGTGTGTGTGTGTTTTAAAGTTTATTTATTTATTTTGAGAGAGAGAAAGAGCACATGAGTGGGAAATGGGCAGAGAGAGAGGGAGAGAGAGAATCCTAAGGAGGCCCTGATCGGCACAGATCCCCATGTGGGGCCTGAACCCACAAAATGCGAGATCATGACCTGAGCCAAAACCAAGAGTCGGTGCTTAACAAACTGAGCCACTCAGGTGCCCCTGTGTGTATGTGTTTTTAAAATGTTTCAAATTGTGGTAAAATACATACCACACAACATTTACCATCTTGACCACGTTCAAGTGAACAGCTCAGTGGTATTAGGAGCGTCTACATTTTGTGCAGCCGTCATCACCACCGTGTCCAGAACTCTTCATCTTGCCACACTGAAACTCCGTACCCATTAAGCTGTCACCGTGTCCCTCTGCCAGCCCCCAGGCAACCACCAGTCTACTTCCTGTGCAATCATCTCCTGTAAACAGATCGTGCAGATCTTTGCCTTTTTGTGGCTGGCTTACTCCACACAATGTCCTCTAGGTTCCCCCATGTGGTAGCCTGGGTCAGAATCTCCTTCCTTTTTAAGGCTGCATAATACTCCATCCCGTGTGTGGACCACGATTCGTTTGAGATACGTGGGTTGCTTCCGTGTCCTAGACCATAAAGGATGTTGCTACGGACACAGGTCTGCAGATTTGTCTGTGGGGACCTGTTTTCAGTTCTTCTGGGTATACTCACGGAAGTGGAATGGTGAGATCATAGGTTGAATCTGTCTTTAATGCACGCTTCCAGTGGGTGAGGGATCTCATTTCTTCATATCCTAATTCTTGTTATTTGCTGTTTTCTGGTTTTCGCTTCTATTTGCCATCCTAATGGGTATGAACTATATCTCACTGTGGTTTCGATGTGCATTTCTCTAATGACTGATCACCCTCTCGTGCGCTCCTGGACCACTGGTACGACTCCCCAGTGTTTATGATCAGCACTGAACCTGCGGGAACTCGGGGCCACAGCCACTTACCCTCCGCTGCCTTATTCCCACCTGCACTGCAGCCTTTGCCACCCCCAGTGTTAATTTGAGTATCGTGATGCCACCGCATGCCATGGGCCACCCGGGCCTCATCGTCCCTGACATAGAGGTTCTCCGTGGACTTCTCCAGTATGTGGGCAGCCCTTTCCCAGAATCCCGTGTTCAGTGGTCCTGGGGGCACAGCCTGTATATCAGCCTGAACAGGTGGCACACTCAAAACTGGGCTGATTGAGGTGAGTTTAAATAAAGGGAACTTTACAAAGGGCGGGCAGGGCTTAGGGAAAACAAAAACGGTGAGTGAGGAGGGGCGCCTGAGTGGCTCGGTTGGTTGAACGTCCGACTTCGGCTCAGGTCATGATCTCACGGTTCGTGAGTTCAAGCCCTGCATGGGGCTCAGTGCTGTCATTGCAGAGCCTGCTTTGGATCCACTGTCCCCCTTTCTCTCTGCCCCATTCCTGCTCATTCGCTCTCTCTCAAAAATGAATAAACATAAAAAAAAAAAAAAAGGTCCTAACTGCCAGTTCCCTCCTCTGCCCTCGTGGACAAACCCCTCCTCTTAAAAAAAGAAAAGAAAAAGGCGAGTGAGGTGCACAGGGCCCTGGCGACAATAGGGACATCCCCAGAACTGACAGGACAAGGGGAGAGCAGTTCTGGAACCCAGAACGGGGGCCTGAGCAGAGAGGGCCCCCTGAAAGGAACTGCAGCCATTGGAGAGGGGCGCTCAGAGAATAAGTAGCAGACCTCTCTCCCTCCCCCAGAGACAGGACCCTGCTCCTGTCCCTGAGGGTCAGTCCGTGGGAGCCAGCACGGTGGAGAAAGCTGGAAGGTGGGTCAGAAGGGGAAAACAAAGACACGTAGCTCCATTCTTACGGTTACTTTGTATTAGTCCAGATGCTTCTTGTCATAAAACACATGACACGGTGATTCAACAACCGGGATTTGCTTCTCTGAGAGCGAACCAGCAGAGATTTGGAGGTTGCAGATGCGGGTTTTGCTCAGCAGCTCAGTGATGCCGTAATCCCGAGGCAGGATCTCTGTCTTTCTTGTCAGGGCCTCGAGATGGTGGCCCAAGTGCCAAGTGCCACAGCCCCACGAGACCGCCACAGTGCAGGAAGGGCGGGACAGGGGTCCCCGGGACTCCTCTTAGCCTCTCCTGCTTACAGGAATCAGTCTCCCCCTGAGAGCTGGGGGGGGGGGTGCTCTCCTCAGGAACCGGGGGTGAGAAGGGGGAACGGCTGTGGGCACGCGGCCCTGGGATCACTCTTGGTAACACGGAGATCACCCTGCCCCCAGGGAGTGCTCCCCTAACGGTCTGGTTTGTTGTCAAAGCACAAAATGCAGCGACAAATAGGCTCAAACGTGACCGGGTTGCTCTGAGCCACCCTGGGTCATCTCTCACTGGGGAAGCTCTCCCTCCCTTTCAGGTAGCCTTCTGAGGCCAGTTCCTCCTCCTTCGCTCAGGTGGGCCGGGAGTTCACTTCCACAACAGACCTAGAGAGCCAGAGACTCTCTGGAAAAGTCCCTGAGGCAAGGAAAATACAATTGGCGTGGCGACCTGCTTGGAATGAGGGAAGGAAAAAACGAGAAGAAAACCCAGCACGTGTTAATGTTTCAATAAGTGACCCTGACCTGAAACTTAGATATGGATTCCTTACCCTCAAGGCCATGGCTGACACTCAGCTGGGACCCCCGGGAGGACCACACAGCCTGCTGAGGTATCAGAAAGCCTCAGACCCAGTTAGTGGGGACGCCCTCTATGTCCCCAGAAGTACGGCTGCCTCAGCCCTTCCCCAGAGACGGGGTTCCTCTAGGAGCCCCGCGCCACCTGCGGCCACCATCCCCACTGGTCAGAGCCCCCACTTGCCCCTCGGGGAAGCACTTTGAACCTACCCCGTGGTGACTACACATAGCTCTTCTGTAGAACTAAAAGTACAGATCAAGACAAAACCTCCAGGCCCGTGGAGTTCCAATCAGAAGCAGTGACCCTGTGCTGCTCGCTCTGCTCAGTCTGGCCAGCTTCTCCCAGGCCCCGGGAGGAGACTGCTCTGGCCGCCCACCTTCCTCTACAAACCGCCTTACGGGGGACGCCCAGGGAGCCTTCCAGAACAGCAGCACTGTCCCTTCCCTGCCTGGACTATAGGACTCACGACATCATATGCCTGTCCTTTAGTGTCTGTCTCTGTCACTAGGCTTTTGGCCCCACGAGGGCAGGGTGCTATGTGCGTGTGAGCACCCAGCGTCTAGACCAGGGTCTGCCGAGAGGTCACTCGGCCTCTACTTACAGCAAATGCATCACCGTCCTGTTATGTACACCCTCCTTTTCTCATTGTTCTGGGACCATCAACATTGTTTCTTTTCTGTTCCCTCGTGTGTCATTTAATGGTGTGGAATCAAAGCCCCACTTAAAAAAGATTTTTTTTTAAAATGTTTATTCTTGAGAGACAGAAACAGAGCACGAGAGGGAGAAGGGCAGAGGAAGAGAGGGAGACACAGAATCCGAAGCAGGCTCCGGGCTCTGAGCTGTCAGCACAGAGCCCGATGTGGGGCTTGAACCGATGAACCATGAAACCATGACCTGAGCCAAAGTTGGTTGCTCAACCAACTGAGCCACCCAGGCGTACCTCAGAGCCCCATTTTCTAGGACAGGAAGCTATTTACAGTTCCTTAAATTGTGAATTACGACAGAAAGAGATTCAGTTGAGCCCTGGGTGTTTGCCAGCCTTGCATCGCTAGTGGCCTACAGGGGCCACTCACCATCCCCTCCACCCTCCCTCCCCCGCACTCAGAAGCTGCTTGGCTGGGCTGGTTTGAAGGTGACCCTCTGGAAAAGCCAGGACATTTATAGAATACTTGTGGATGATACTGGGTGAAAGTACTCTTTGCTGGGAACCTGCAGCCTGTGTTCGCCATGCTGGAGGCCTCCCAGTGAGCACAGCTGGGGTTCCTGGACCCCGTGGTGGGATTGCCTGCAATTAGGAGCTGGGGTCCCTCCCTGTTGCACTGGCAGCGGCTGGGTCTCCGCCTCTGGGCCTGGCAAAGGCTGCACAGAGCTGGGCTCTGCGGGGCCCAAGCTCCTGGCCCGGGTGCTGGCATTGCCGACAGAGCCTTTAGGATGCCAGGCACTGCTGAGTCTTAGGGGGGACGTTGCATCAGGACAGCTGCCCTTTTCCCAGGGGCTGGGGCATCTCGGGCCGAGAGCGAGGCCAGGCTGTGAGAGGGGCTTGGCCCCCACTTATCGCTCAAGGTCCTTGGATAACAGTGGATAACAGAGAGGGCGGCTCTCAGGCTTCTCTGGCTGGGCAGGGCCACAGGGGTTGGGCAGGGCTTCTGGTATCCCCGGGGACTTAAAAACAGGGCCCTCAGGGCAGTCAGCCCACACCTTCCTTCCCAACTGCAGCAACATGGCCTTTCTCTGGCTTCTCTCCTGCTTCGCCCTTGTGGGGGCTGCCTTCGGTCGTGAGTGTCGGGATCCCAGGGGTGGGCCTGCTGGGCCTGGAGTCGGCTTGCGGGGAGGCCCTGAGCTCCCAGGGGCCCCGCGGCCAGGCCCATCGAAGGAGCCCGAGAGGCTCTGTCCAGAGTGAGCCTTGGGGCCTGGCTAAGAGGGACTTTAGAGACCCCTTCCCTGCACCCTTGGGTCTCTTACCCAGACAGGCAAACTGAGGCTGCGGGGAGCACAGGGGTCCTCTTGGACCCCTTTGAGCCCTTACACTCTGAGACAAGAGGGTACCAAAGAGTTCTTTGGCCCAGTTCTTTGGCCGAGTTCTTTGGCCCAGAAGTGGCTTGGGCAGGGGTGCCGTGGGCAGAGTGAGGGTATGGTTGCAGGAGACTCTCAGTGCCTCCTCCTAGGATTTTTATTTATTGTGCCAGGCACTTTCAAAGCCCTTCATTTTCCATTAAAAAAAGAAGAAGAAATAATAGAAAATACAGAAAATGACATTCCAGCCATGTACCTACCATCAGGGTTTTGTAAATATTACCTTTTTGCAGACTGGCCTCAGGTACTTCTTTTTAAAACAAAATAGATTCAGCTAGAGTTACCTTCTCCCTCCTCCACTAGAGGAAGATGAACCCAATTCCGAACTTGCTGTGTGGGCTTTACTAATTTAGTACATATTTATAAATCCATAAACTCTGTACAATAGTTGTATAAGCTTTCACAAACAGTATTATACTCTACGTCAATTTTAAAACATGGCTGGGGCGCCTGACTGGTGAAGTTGGTGGAGCCTCCGACTCTTGATCTCAGGGTCAAGGGTTCAAGCCCCACGATGGGCTTAGAGCTTACTTTTAAAAAAAGCGCCTTTTCCCACCCACCTGATGTTTTAGATTTATCTCCGTTGGTGCGGAGACCCATTCACCGTAATCACGGTAAAGTACTCAGCTGTGTAAATACATCCTGGTTTAGCTCTAATGTTTTTGCTGTTACAAAGAAAGCGATTAGTATGATGACATATGTTTTGGCAAGAATGATCTGCACGGAGTCACCCGGGGGCAGCAGGGCGGGCACTGACCTGTAGAGAAGCCTGCGTTGCCACAGGGAGCGGGGGAGGGAGGGCTGCCTGGTGGTCGGGCCTGCACCAGCCTGACCTTCCTTGTGCGGGTGCTGAGAAGTCCCCAGGTCCCGGCACAGCAAGTGCGTCACAGACACATTAAGTACACCTGTCTTTTCTCCTCCTCTGACAGTTCGAGCCCATATTTTGTGTTTTCCCCCCTGTGTTCTTGTACGGTGCAAAATCCTGTTTTATTAAATAATTAAGAAACTAAAACTTGACACGATGAATAGTTCCTGAAACCTCTGGAAAAGAAAAGTCAGCGTAGGCACAGAAGGGTGGAACGTACCGGTTCTTACCGGCTTCAGCAAAGCGCCAGGGTTCTGGACTCCCCGTGTACTTGGGGTTGGCCGATTTCTCTGCTCCCATCTAACAGGTGAGCTTTGACCTGTGAGGTTAGCCTCGGGTGCTCCCCAGTTTACTGAGGAAAATGAGCACTGGAGATTCAGTGACGCCCTGAGGTCTCTCACAGCATGAAGGCTGGGCCTGGGAGTCCAGCCAGGCAGTCTGATTTCTCAGCCTGTTTTCTGCTCCTTCATCAGGAAGCCCCCCGGCAGGACCTGCCCCTGGCCTCTGCATCCCTGGCAGGGTGCCTGGGGGCTGGCTTCATGCGGGGATCCCGGTTTATAGAGGTTGAGGACTGCAGCCAGAAGTCGCCTGGAGGGTGGTGTGGGGTCCTGGCGGAAGGAAGCAGGAGTTCTGTGGACTCTGGGCCTCAGCCTTCTTCCCTCTTCTCCTACTCCCCCAGAGTGTGGGGTCCCCGCCATCGAACCCGTGTTGAATGGCCTGTCCAGGATCGTTAATGGCGAGGACGCTGTCCCGGGCTCCTGGCCCTGGCAGGTGTCCCTGCAGGT